GAGGACGGTGTCGAGCGGCGAGCCGGCGGCGGACGGCGGCGGCGGCGACGCCGGCGCCGGCGGCGGCGGCGCGGATCAGAGGCCAAACTTCCTCGATGATGTGGCGCGGGACGTTTACGCGTCGACGTCGGTCGACTCGATCAGCGACCGGATCGGGCAGACCAAGCACTACATGCAGCGCGGCAGCCGCGCCGGCGCGGAGGGGTTCATGCGGCAGCAGAGCTGAGCGGGAGTGGTGGGGAGCACAGCATCAAGCGGTAGTGGGCGGGGGGTAGTACCGTACCACGGATGAGTTGGGCTCAAGCAGGTTTTCCGGAAAACAAAAAGGAAAACAGAGGGTCCCCAGGTGGCACTGCACCCCAGCAGTTTTTTTGCGTTTCCCCGGAAATATCCAGGGAGAGGATTACCAGGGGAAAGGAAACAGAGGGTGTTTGGTGCTCCATTCTGGAAACTCGCGAGTTTCCCTGAGTCTGAGAGCTGGTCTGAGGCAAAATTGAGGAAATCGACAAAATGCGCAGGCGGTCGCAGGGTAATTTCCAGGTATACACGGGTTCTCCGCGAAATTCCCGGCATTTTGCCGATTTGGCCTAAAATTTGGGGTCTCTCGACCGAGTCAATGAAGCCCTGGCCGCTCCCGGTGGTGGCAAGGTTATAGAACCAAGCGATGGAGATGGTGCGGGGGTACGGGTGTTCCAGGGGGTCACGACACGCACCGACCCTTCACGAACCGAAAGGCTGTGCCCGGGGAAGGCACAGTAATCCGGGCACGTGTTGGGCGCCCCATTCCGTTTAGGGCTAGGTCGGCTCAGGGACCCGTCCACTTCCCTCCCGCCTGGCGCGTGATGATGAGGAGATGCCACCCAGGCCAGCCAGGGCAGGGGCGGGGGGCGAGGGCGGAGGGCGGGATGGGCGCCACGCGGGAGGGAGCGGACGCTCGGGGTGGGGCGCACAGATGGGGGATGGCGAAGGCGGAGGGGCGGGAAGGGGGGAAGGCGGCGGGAGGACGGAGGTCGGCATGGGCGGGCGGTGGGTGGTTCGGTAGGGCGGGGGGGGGAGGGCGAGGGGTGGAGGAGAAGGGCGGTGGGGGCGAGGGGCGGCGAAGGAGAGGGTGGCGGCAAAGGGGTGGGCGAGGTGGAGGGCGGGGGCGGCATGGGAGAGGTGGAGGGCGGCGGAGGCGTGGGCGAGGTGGAGGGCGGCGGCGGCGTGAGCGGCGGCGGCGGCGGTGGGGGGGAGGTGGAGGGTGGCGGTGGCGTGGGCGAGGTGGAGGGCGGCGGCGGCGTGAGCGGCGGCGGCGGCGGTGTGGGGGAGGTGGGGGGCGGCGACGGCGCGAGCGGCGGCGGCGGCGGTGTGGTGGGGGTGGAGGGCGGCGGCGGCGTGAGCGGTGGCGGCGGCGGTGTGGTGGAGGTGGGGGGCAGCGGCGGTTGAGAGCTCTCAAAAAAAACTCCATGCGCCGACTTGCGGGACGCGTCCTTCTCTCGCAAGTCGGCAATGATGGACGCGCAGCGCAACGAGCGCGTCTTCCGCAACGTCCGCCGCCTTCTACCGTCCTCGATTACGGATGCTGAGATCCGTACGGTGCTGGCTGCCTACCGACACTACCCGAAACCCGGCGGGCTAGCGCACACATACCTCGAGAGGAAGTATGGCCTCGCGCCTGGCCCAGTGCCAGCGCTCGGCGCGCCTCCCGTGCCCGCTCCCGTGCCCGCTCCCTTCGGGTTCCGACCAGGCCGCCTCCTTCGAGGCTGTGGCCTCGGCCCAGCCGAGCGCTCCTACCATGCGCCTGCGGCTGATCTGCTCTCGGCCGCACGCGACGACCCCTTGGAGCCCGTCCTCGCCTCCCTGCTCGAGGAGTCGTTCTCCGCGAGGCTGGCCTCATCTACGGGCGTCAACGACGAGGAGCGGCAGACGAACGGCGTTGCGGTTAGCGTCAACCCCCTCTACGCTGCTGGCTCCTCGCTGCACGCCGCCTTCGTCGCCGCATGCCGGCGCAACCTGTCGCTCGAGGTGGAGGTCGTGTTCCACGGCACCGCTGACCGCAACGTGGACGCCATCTCCGAGAATGGCCTCGATCCCGCACGGCGTGGCCAGCACGGGCAGTCGCTCGGTCCCGGCGAGTACTTTGCGCGCGACCCGCTCATCTCCCTCTCCTACTGCCAGTGGGGCGGCGGGTTCCGGCCGGGAGCAGGACCGACACGCATGCTCATCTTCGCCGTGCTCATCGACCCGCGCAACGACGGCGTGCCCGCGTTCGCGCGCGAGGACTTTGGCGGCTCCTCGCCCATCGTCGTCGTCCCGGAGGCAGACCACCAGCTCCCGATCGGCGTGCTCACCCTCAGGCCGGGCGAGGAGGCGATGGGCCAGGCCACGAGCGTCGTGAACGCCTTGATGCGGAAGGCCAAGGCCGCGAGCGACGCCGCGGCGGTGGCGGAGAAGCAGGCGAGCGCGGCAGAGAGCTTCGCGCGCGTCTGCCAGCTCCTCATCCGCGAGGATCTTGACGCAGCTGCAGCGGCGTACCAGGCGGCAATCGCCTCAGACGCAGCCGTCACCTCGAGCTGGGCGCACGCTCTCTCTTTCTACCTGCGCAAGTACCGCCTCGAGCCCAGCCTCGTCCAGGCCATGTTCCCGGGCGTCGAGGGCGTCGAGGTTGACGCTGGCGGCAGCAGCAGCGGGGGCTTGGGCAGCTTGGGCTCAGCCAGCCGCACCGTCTCGAAGCGCCCCTTCGACGGCACCGTCGAGGAGCTCAAGGCGAGCGCCACCGCCAAGCGGGCCGAGGCTGACGCGGCCCACTCCCGCTGGCGCGCCGCTTCGAGCCGCGCGGCCAGCAGCGCCGGCTCCAACCCGGCGCGGGCAGTGCCGGGTCGGAACGCGCGGCCTGCGGCCGTTGCGTCGACGGCGGCGGCCACGCGGCGCGTCACCAAGGAGCTGCGGCAGCTGGCGCGCGCGGAGCACGGCTGGACCGTCGAGCTTCCGGACGAGGCGAACTGCTACGTGTGGCGCGTGGCAATGCAGCCCGAGCCGGGCACGAACCTCGCGCGCGAGCTCGTCGACCACGCCCGCCGGACCGGCGAGTCGGAGGCGGTCCAGCTTGAGGTCGCCTTCTCGGGCGACTACCCTGCCGCGCCGCCGTTTGTGCGCGTCGTCTCGCCTCGCTTCGAGTTCCACACCGGCCACGTGACGGTCGGCGGCTCCGTCTGCCTCGAGACGCTCACCACTTCGGGCTGGAACTCCGAGCTCTCGATGGAGGGCGTTCTCCTCCTCGTGCGCTCGGCCTTTGCCGACGGTGGCGGCCGGCTCGACCCGGTGCGGGCGCACGTCCCTTACGCCGAGCGCGAGGCGCGGGCGGCCTTCGAGCGCGTGGCGCGCGCGCACGGCTGGGGCGCATGAGCACAGAGCTCGAGAGCGTAGTAGAGGCGAGAAGGGCCGATGCACCCCCGGCCGGCCCCGCCATTGCCGCCACTTGCCACTTTGCGGTGGTAACTGGAAGTAAGTATTGGGCGAGTGCGCCGACATCGGTCACCGCAGTGCAGAGGCGAGAGGGCGCCGTCTGTTTAAATGTGGCGCCGCCTGTCCCAGGGTTACGTTATTACGAGTGTATCGGGGCGCGCCCACGAGCTCGGCCGTTATTTTTTGGCACGTACCAGGGTAGTTGCCGCGGAGTTGCTCGGTTGGACGCTCGAGGGCGGCGGAGACGTGCGGTGCGGCCACGCCGCAGGCGGAACGGCGCGGCGGCGGCCGCGGTGGAGACGTCGACGAGCCCGTCGCATCGCCCGCAGCGCACAGGTGCGTCTCGCCCCGGAGCGCGTCCCGAGCGTGGGAATTGCCGCTCTCGACGACGAGCACGCGGCGTGCACGGCGGCGCTGCGCGAGCTCGCCGCCACACGCAGTGCCGCGGCGCTTGCAGAGGTGCGGCGCGCGTATGAGGCGCACTTCCGCCACGAGGAGGCGCTCCTGGACGAGTACCTGTGGAACGAGGCCGCAGGCGGCGGCGCGGCGGCGGGCGGCGGCGCGGCGGCGGGCGGCGGCACGGCGGTGAGCGGCTTCGATCTTCGCGCGTCGATGCGCCGGTCCCACTTTGCCGACCACGCGCGGCTCCTGCGCGAGGTGGCGGTCGAGGACGCGGAGCCGGCGGCTGAGGACGTGCCGCGGGCGTGCGCAACGACAGGCGGCGAGGCGAGGCCGACGGGAGGCGAGCTAGGAGGCGAGCGGGCGCGCGCGACGGCAGGCGGCGCCGCGCGCGAGGAGGGGCGCTCCGTGGTTCCGCGCGAGCTGGTGGAGCGCGTGTTGCGCGATTTCGAGGCGCACGCCAGCCGGTACGACTACTCGTACGGCGCGGACCTCGGCGCGGCGCTGCGGCGCGCCGGCGAGTCGCCCGCCGCGGTCCTGGCCGCCACAGCGGGCGGCGTGGAACAAGGCGCGGTCTCGACGACAGCCTTGTGAGTCGACCTTGTGAGGCTCCGCAGCGAGCGAGCGTGCGATGGCGCGATGTGTATGATGGCGGGCCCACCGAAAGCACGGCCACGCGCCTGTGATGGCCGCCGGAGACGCACAGGGCGCGGCGCGCCTGGCCTGCCCTCGGGGCAGGCAGGCGCGCGCTTGTGCCATCGCATGAACGGGTAAGACTGTACAGGAAAGGTAAATTTCTCCACGACGCACGAGGATTATCGCCATCAATACCGAGGCCCTAGAGAGCGCGGCGGCGGGCTAGACCGTGAATGATGCGCGTGAACAGCGTGTGAAGCTCCGAAACAGCACTCCGCAACTCGAGATCCCTCGAGAGTTCACGGAGGCGGCCCAAGCTGCAGAACATGTGCAGGCCAGCGCCTATGACGCTCAAGGAGTGAGGCGCGGAGCGCCGCGCGCGGAGCGCGCCCCGAGGAAAATTTTGAGGGTTGTGGAGGGCTAGATGCGATTTCTATTAAGAGTTTGACTCACACGCTAGGAACCACTCGGCCCACCCACAGGCCCAAGCTTGGGAGGCGGCTGGCGCCTACGGCGGCGATTTCTTTTCAATGTTTAATGCCGGATTCAGCGTCTAGTCGCTCTCGCCGTCGTCGACTACATAGCCACTGTGCACTGATCAAAGATGCCGTACGCCGCGCCACAGCCCGCCCGCCGCCGCCCTACCCTCCTTCGAGTGCATGCACTGCTCATGTAGCGCTCATCTGAGTGCATGCTACCCTCAGGCACAACGCCGCCTACGGGATCGTCGCCGTCCAGGCGCTCTTCTTCCTCCTCGGAGGCATCCGCGACAACTTCATGGAAGGCAAGACCGTCATGCCAGACGAGGAGTACCTCCAGTCGTGGTGGCACGACACGAAGCTCGGCGACAGCGAGAACCAGTCGCCGCGCATGACGGTGATCTGCAACGGCTGGGGCACCTTCATCGGCACGATCGCCCTCCTCAAGATCGCCGTCGCGCTGACGGGCGGCACGACGACGCTCGCTAAGACGCTCGGCGCCGTCTTCGTCGTTACCAACCTGTGGCTGTGCAAGGTCTTCCTCCCGATGAACGCGCTGATGGAGGAGCACTGGACGAACAAGAAGAACAACCCGGCGATGGTGAACAAGGGCGACGTCACGCCGTTCTGCGCGATGCTCGTCATCGAGTCGGTGTGCTGGCTCGTCTCGCAGGGCGGCCTCGTCGACTTCGGCAAGATCAAGATGGTCTGAGCGCTCGCCTCACGCCTGCGAGCGGCCCGCAGGTGCACCGCGTGGAGAGCGGAGTCCGGAGACGCGTTCACTTTTCTTTCCTTCCTCATTTCTTGCTCAGCCTCATCATTTTTTGCTCAGGCGACAAAGAAACGAGTAATCATGCGTCTCTCACACACACCGCCCTCCTCTCTCTTCCCCGGCACCTCGGACCCCACGGACGCCCGCCAGACCGTCCCAGCCCTCGAGACCGCCGCCACACACCGGCGGCGGCATCGGCACGACAGGGAGGGAGGGACGGAGTTGCGCAGGAGGCCAGCCACCACCGGGCTGAGAGAGAGGCATGCTCCGCGAGCGACCCACCGCGCGATGGGGCCCGCCCACACCGGCTCAGTCCCATCCATAACATGTTATGGGTGTTATGGCTGTTATGGGGCCATGCCCAGAGAGCCATAACACCATAACAATAACTGTGTCAGGGGGCAATTCGTGAAGGAGGGACTGACTGACATTCGAAAGAGGCGACGGGAGGAACGGGCAGTCCTACGCGCACTGGGCGCCTTGCACGTGTGTAATGCCGTGGGGTTCCTGTCGTGTCGTCTAGACGTGGAGACGCGAGGGCCGCCCCCTTGCCCCACCATGTGTTTATTATCGTGATCAACCAATCACGGTTGTGTATGGGACACCGTTCCGTGATCAACCAATCACTGTTGTGTATGGGACACCGTTCCGTGCGACCCTCTTACTCACATATGGCAGCCAAAACGCGCTGCTGAGACACCGCAGCAAAGCAACGACGCCCTATGGGCACTCTCTTGCCCCCAGAGCCCAAACCCTTCCTTCCTTCCCCTGGCCCCTTACCCGACCGCCCCCCTGCAGCTCCTTGGCGAGCGAGGGCGCGGTTCCCCGCAGCCGACAGCGAGCTCGCCCCTCTTGGCTATCTTCGCTCGAGGGACGATGCAACATGCGCCCACGGATAGAGACCAGGTTAGGTTAGGCAGGAAGGTAGGTAGGTAGAAAGGTGAAGAACAGCCAGGCTCGGACTGGACACCAACGCGGTATGGGTGGACGCAAGACAGATGATGACAGGAAGGTGAAGAAGGGCCAGTACCGCACGGGCCTTGCGAGCGAATCCAAGGCCTCAGCTCTCGGGTTCGGCCGGCGCGGACACATATATGGCCTCCCACCGCATCGGCGCGCGCGTCGCGGGCCTCTCGCCAGCGCAGCTGTGCGCCATCATCGAGGCGCAGGCGGGCGCGAGCGACGCCGCGCTGCGTGTGGCGGACGAGCACGCCACACGGCTCGTGGAGCAGCCCGAGTGGGTGCTCTCCGAGGTCCTCCTCTCGCCGGACCTCGTACCGCACATCCTCGCCCAGCTGCCGACCAAGGAGCACGCCATCAAGGGGACGTGCCGCGCGTGGCGCCGCGGCTGGAAGGAGACGCTGAAGAAGCGCGAGAGGCCGCGCCTGACCGTGATCGGCGGCCGCAGCGGTGGCGAGTTTGTCAACTCGCTGGAGCGGTACGACCCGTCAACAAACGAGTGGGAGGAGGAGGCTGTGGCGCCGATGCCGACGGCACGAAACTATGTCCGCATGGCGATGCTCGACGGCAAGCTCTACGCGGCGGGCGGCAGGAATGAGGCTGACCTCGCAATTTCCAGCGTGGTGGAGCGGTACGACTTTGAAACGAAAGCGTGGGAGGCGGTGGCGCCGCTGGCAGAGGCGCGGCTTAACCACGCCGTGGCGGCGCTCGACGGCGAGCTCTACGCTGTGGGCGGGTGGATCGGCGGCGACCTCCTCACCTCCGTGGAGCGGTACGATCCCGCGACGAACGCGTGGGAGGCGGTGGCGCCGATGGCGGCGGCGCGGATTAATCACGCCGTGGCGGTGCTCGACGGTAAGCTGTACGCCTTGGGCGGGTACTACGCCGACTACCTCAACTCGATCGAGCGGTACGATCCGGCGCTGGATGCGTGGGAGGCGGTGGCGCCGATGACCACGGCGCGGAACGGTCCCGGAGTGGCGGTGCTCGACGGCAAGCTGTACGCTGTTGGCGGGTACAACGGCGACTACGGCTACCTCAGCTCGGTGGAGCGGTACGATCCGGCGACGAACGCGTGGGAGGCGGTGGCGCCGATGGCAGCGGCGCGGCGGGCTCACGCCTTGGCGGTGCTCGATGGCAAACTGTATGCTGTTGGCGGATGGAACGGCGGCCATCTCAGCTCGGTGGAGCGGTACGACTTGGGTACGAATGCGTGGGAGGCGGTGGTGCCGATTGCGACGGCGCGACGCGATTCTATCGCAGTCTGGATGTAGTGGAGTGGGCTTAGCCTTAGGCGCGGGTGCGGCGGCGGGCGGGTATCGCTTCTCCCAGCGCGAGGAGGAGGGGGGTCTCTGCCAGTAGAATTTTGATTTGGGTTTCTTTCGCTGTCGGTTCCCTTAGTTGTAAAATTCCCTTTTTACCGCAGGCCGAGGAATCGGCATCGGGGTTTCGCGCGGCCAATTTCACGCGACACACCGAACAACAATGGACGCGATTGAAGAGGACGCGGCAGCAGCCGAAGCGACCGCAGCTGCGAGTCGGGAGCGCGACCTCCGGCGCCTGGCGCGGGCGGGCGCCCTCGGCGAGATCCAGGAGCTGATAGGTGAGGATGCAATCCGCATTGCGTCGCACCATCTGCGCACAATGTTGCGCCGCTCACATCCGCGACCTGAGTTTGTCGGCTTGTCGTTCGCGCCGCGCAGGACAGCGAGTCAATGTCGATGCGGCTGACTCGAAAGGCACCACCGCCCTCATGAATTGCGCCGAGGCCGAGGGGCAGAGCGGCGTCGCTGTCGCAGAGGCTCCTCGGCTGACCTGCGAGGGAGCTGGGCAGGACAATCCTCGCCACGTGATACTCGACGCTGTAGGTGCTGCTGGGTGCCGGCGCCGACCTCTCAATCCAGAGCGAGATGGGGCAGACGGCGCTCATGTGGGCCGCACGGTGCGCAGTAGATGGCCTCGCCGGCGTTGCGTGTCGAAGCCAGGCCCTTCAGCAACAGGGCTGTCAGCAGCACTGGCAGTTGGTGCAAGCTCTCGCCGCGGCCTCGCAGGCACGGCAAGGCTTCGCTCGTCGAGACGTTGCTGGTGGCCCATGCCGACCCGCATGTCTATTGCCACAAGGGCCGTCATGTGGGACGCGCCGACGTTGCTCCGCCGCACGCCCTCACAGTTTTCTGTGCTGCACCTCCGCAGGCTTCCGCGCCATCGACTATGCGCGCTTCCTTGGGCACGCAGCGGTGACTCGTGCCTACCGGAGAGAGCGAGCGCGTGCACACGACTACCGACTTTGCGAGAGACCCACACGATAAATCGCTCGGCAACAGACTGCATTGCCTGGACGCAGGTGCTCGAGGCGTTCAACGAGCCCGACTGGGTCGGCTGGCTGCCCCCGCCTCTGCGCGCTACGGCCGTCCACGCCGTCCGGATGGTGCCGGTGCGAGCCCAGATTGCGGTGGGACAAGTGGCCCCAAAGGTGACGCTACCCCGAGATGGCGGGTGGAGTCCCGCCGCTCCCGCCTCGGTACCCCCACTGCCAGCCCATGCACAGGTTGGCAGTCGGATCTGGGGCAACCCGATGCTCTTGTCCGCGCTCGTTGTCGCCGCCCTCCGCCTCGGCCTGCATTGGGCCTTTGGCTTGCTCAGCGAGAGAGCGACGGCCAGCTGAAGTTCTGCTCCTCGTGGATTGCTAGATCTTAGTGCGCGAGGAGGAACGTTGGTCGTTGCGCGCGTGCAAGATTGCTTTTTGTGCGCGTGTTTTTTGCTCTTACGTCCTTTCAATTTCCTTTGGTTCAGAGAAGTATGAACTCCGTTTAAAGTAACACATTGTGGTGTGGTGGAGGACACGTTGACCAGGGTAGCCGATACCCTTCATCGTGAGAGAGAACGTTTGTAGACATCGCGCAAGATCATCGCCGGGTCGCCGAGGACCCGCCAGCAGCAGACGACGAGTCGCTGATCACGCGTCCGGCGGGCCCGAGCTCGACGACACGGTCGGCGATCCGGAGCGCCGACTTGCGGTGCGTGACGAGGAGGAGCGTCCTGCCGGCGAGGGCCTCCTCCACCGAGTCGAGCAGCGCCGCCTCGGTCGCCGGGTCGAGTGCGGCGGTGAACTCGTCTAGCGCGACCTGTTCACGGCGAGGCGGCGTGAAGAGGCGCCGGTCGAGCTGCGGGCTGGACTCGTCCGAGCGCGACCACGGGCGACGGGCGCAGCAGCACGCGCGCGAGCGCGATGCGCTGCCGCTGCCCACCCGAGAGTTGCATCCCCTGCTCTCCCACCTCGCGCTCCCACGCCCCTCCAGAGAGGGCGAAATCGCACCTGAAGAGAGAGCGCCGGAGATGGCTCGTGGGAGGAGGGAGGAGGGAGAAGAGAAGGGAGGCTGCAGGGAGGAGGGGGGAGGGAGGGGGGAGGGGAGAGGGAGGAGGGAGGCGAGAGGCAGCAGGGAGGAGGGGGGAGGGGGGAGGGAGGGGGGGGGGGGGGGAGGGAGGAGGGAGGAGCGAGGAGAAAGGAGCGAGGGGAGGGACGGGCGAAGGAGACGAGGCTGGCGGAGCGTCTCACCCGGCGCGGCGAGCCGCATCTCGCAGCTCCTCCTCTGTAGCGTCCGGCTTGCCGAGGGCAATGTTGTCGCGCAGCGAGCCGCTCAGCAGGACTGGCTCCTGCGGCACCACTGCGACGCACCTGCGCAGGAAGGCTCCGAGAAGCTTCGGGGCAAGATCGCGGACCATCCCGAGGGGCGGCGACGCACTCGCGGCGGAGCTGGTCCGGGTCGAGCGTGGACACATCGACACCGTCGAGCAAAACGCGCCTGAGACAGTGTGCTGTTGACATCGCGTGTTTTGTCAACACTAGTCGAGGTCCCACACGCGCCCTCCCGCAAGCTCGTACAGGGCTAATCTCGGCCATATCTCGGCGATGTCTCGCCCCCCCGCAGGCTCGTACAGCCCCGTGAGGAGGGAGATGAGCGTCGACTTGCCTACAGCGAGATATGGGGAGATATGGGGAGATATGAGGAGGGAGATGAGCGTCGACTTGCCTACAGGACGCAAACGTCGGGACACGTCGCGGACATCATGCTTCTGCATGTGTTGATGTTGTCCTGGACGTGTCGTGGGGAGAGGGGGGGTCGGCTTACCCGAGCCACTCTGCCCAATCACGGCGACACGCTCCCCCTGCCGCACGCGCAAGCTGAGCCCGTCGAGGATCGTCTCGGCCGGTCGCGTCGGGTAGGCGAACCGGAGGTTCTCGAAGGCGAACTCCCCGCGGCAGTCCGGCAGCGTGCCGGACCCGGTCAGAGGAGGCGGGCGGCCGATGAGGGCGAGAACGCGCTCCGACGCGCCGGCGGCGCGGCGCAGCTCGGCGTATGCGGTGGCGATGTTGCCGGCGTTGAAGCCGAGGAAGAGGGTGTACATGAAGAAGGAGGAGAGCTCGCCGTACGAGAGAGCGCCGTCCAGCACCTGCTGCCCGCCGACCGCGAGAACCGACAGCAGAGACGACTGCATCGCGAGCCCCACGCCCGACTCGACGGCGGCGGCGTACAGCCCTGCGGTGGCTGCCTCGTCCCGCGCGGCCCGCACGCGCTCGTCGTACCGCTCGCTCGCGAGCCGTTCCGCCGCGAAGAGGCGCAGCGTTCGCACGTTGAGCAGCGCCGAGTGAGCCTCTGCGGCGGCGGCGGCGAGCGCCTCTTGCACCGCCCTCTGCCGCGCCTTGATCCTCTTGCCCATGTGCCGCGAGAGGAGGACCGCGGCGGGGAAGGTTGCGAAGGAGACGAGGCAGAGCTTCGGACTCAGCGAGACCATTGCGAGCGAGCAGCCACCCACCATGATCACGCCTGCTCACATCTCCTCGAGCGCGTGAAAGAGGCGCCGCCAGCCGGGCGCGCCGGCAGCCTCCCACCGCGCCGTCGCGCCTCGCAAGCCGTTGAGCGCATGGGTCGTGACCACGCGCTGCAGCGCCTCCGCGTCAGCCGAGAGGCGGGAGAGGAGCTCGCCTGTCGCCGCCGAATCGTGGAAGGCGGTGGACGCAAGCATGAGCGAGCTAAAGGCGCGCGAGCGCAGCGAGGCGGACACGCTCTCGCCCGCCATGTTGACAATGTACCTGGCCACAGCGAGGATGCCGCCGCGGCGGGGGGAGGCTGGTCGGGCCGGCCTGTGTGCCGTGGGGAGAGGAGGAGAGTGAGGGAGAGGCGGCGGTGCTCTCGCCCGCGGTAGGCCACGAGGCCGGCCTGCACGCCGGAGAGCGCAAAGAGGGCGAGCGCGGCGGTGTCCGGCGTCCACGAGCCGCCGCCGGAGAGGCAGCCGTCCATCACCTCGCCCATGACTCGCGGGAAGACCAGAGAGATGCTGCTGCTCGCCGTGAGCAGCACGAAGCCTCCGGCGAGCCGCCACCGCTCCGGCCAGAGAAAGGAGCGCACGAGAGCCGCCGAGTCGGCCGTCGAGAGAGGCTCGATGTCCGGCATTGCCGTGGCTGTTGGGAGAGCGGAGCTGCTGGCTCCGTTCGTGCCGGCAGAGCCAGTGGTGGAGGTGCTGGCTGCCTTGGTGGCGGCTGCAGCGGTGGCCGTGGCAGGAGTGCTGCTGCAGCGCCGAAGGCGCTGCGAGAGTGCGCGCGACGGCTCGCCGCGGTGGCAGTGGCACCTGCTGACGGCGCTGGCGGCGAGACGACGGCGAAGCATGGCTGCAGCGTCGTCGTCGACTCTGTCCCTCCTGAGGCCGCTAGGCTTGCAAGCCCTCCGCCAAAGAAGAATTTTAGGTACGTCGCGAACCTCCATAAGAAAGAACTTCGAAAGATGCGCGCCATTCGTTTTTCTTTTCCTCGCGTCTCGCCGCCGCTTGCACCGCCGCCCCCCGCCAGACACGCCGCCGCCCGCCCGCCTCCTCGACCTCCCCACCGACCTCCTCGAGCGCGCCCTCTCCCGCAGCGAGAGCCCCGCCGACATCGCTCGCGTCGCGGCCGTCTCGCGCCTCTTCCACGCCTCGCTTGCGCTGGAGGGCATCCGCGTGTGGGTGCAAGAGCGCGGCTTCGAGCTGCCGACGCAGCCAGAGGGCGAGAGCTGCCCCGTGCGGTGGCTGTGCCTCGCTGCGCTGCTGCGCGAGGCCAACCCGCCGGCGAGGGTTGCGGCAGGCCAGTCTCACAGCCTCTTCATCGACGGCGAGGGGCGGCTCTCGTCATGCGGCAATGCTGAGAACTGGATGCCAGGGCTGCTCGGCCACGGCGAGGGCGTGACGCGGCTCAACACGCCGACCCGTCTCCCCTCGACGCTTGGGCGGCGAACGTGCCGTGAGCGTGTCGGCTGGAGATTACCACAGCCTCGCCCTCACCAGCGGCGGCGCCGTTTGCAGCTGGGGTGATGGAGGCTACGGCGCGCTGGGCCACGGCGACCGGCAGGACCAGTGGCAGCCTAAGAAGGTCGAGGAGTTGACGGGCCAGCGCGTCGTCGCTGTCTGTTCTGGACGCGCGCACAGCCTCGCCCAGGGGGCACAGACACATCGCTCGCTGACAGATAAAAAGGCAAGATCGGATCGGAGCTCAAGCGATTTCTTTGTCTCCACCTATACCCGCCAGACCCTTGACCCTACACACCCTCACCGCCTGCGCGCCTGGTGTGTCTCCAGTCGCGCAGCTGGCCAGATCCGTCCTTCACCTCTTCTCCCTCTACCCACGACTTAGGCTGTATGTATGTTTCCTCTCGCACCCTGCCTCGTTCTTTTCCGTGTTTCTCTACAGCACCCTCTCGTTCCCTCAAAACCCCCGATGTTTTGCATTCCTGAAAATACCAGGTAATTTTGCCGGTTTCCTCAGTTTTGCCTCAGATTTTGCCCCAGACCAGCGCTCAGACTCAGGGAAACTCGAGAGTTCTCCGCGTTGTCGCGCTTCGCCAAACATCGGAGGAGCGTCACATCGCTCATCGGCAAACACAAAACACAACTCTCTCTCTCTCTCATCGGAGAAGCGAGCGAGCGGCGAGCGGAGAAGCAGGTCGTGCACAGGCGGCGTGAAATTCTTTTCGCACGCAGGAGGTAGGCGGCTCCCGTGGTGTACACCTCCCCAACCCGGGTTTTCTAAAGAAAGAAAGAATTTTACAACCAAACTCCCTCGCACGGACACTGGGCACGGGACTGGCGCGCGCTGGAGTGTTCAGACAACCCAAGGGAGGGATGGGAGGACGGCACGCCGCCACCACACAGGTCACACAGGGATTTTAAGGAGAGGAGTGTGGTGCCAGCCGTAGCGCCCACCCATGTTGGGCCCGCTCACGCGTAAAAGCCGTACCTAGTAAAATTCTTGTTCGCGGCTCCCGTGGTGTACCTGTGTTAGTGCCAGTGCGCGCCAGTCCCGTGCCCAGTGTTGTGCGAGGGAGTTTTGTTGTAAGATTCTTGTTCGCTGCCACCATGAGCGGCGCCATCCGCCCGAACGTGCCCGCCGACCTGCGCCGGGGCGACTTGACCTCGCTGCGCGCCCTCCTCGCCGGGCGGACGCATGGCCCGGCGCTCACGGCCCTGCTCGACACCCGGCTCGAGGCCGAGAACCAGTACACGCTGCTGACCTACGCCGCTTGGCACGGGCAGGCCGACGCGGTGCGGCTGCTGCTCGAGAGCGGCGCGAGCGTGGCACCGAGCCCGGGCAGTCGGTGCACCGAGGGTCGAGATCACCCGCAGTCTTCGTGTGGCAAAAGGGCAGATGCTCGTGCTCGGGGCAGATCCTGTAGTCCGGGATGGAGCATTGCAACACAGGCTTGCGCTTGCTGCACTCGGGACTCAGGTTGGACGCATCGCACACGAGACCACCGGCGTCGGCCGCGCAGTCGCTCATATCATCCTTGGCGCTCCAGGCCGCGCCGGCGTCCACGCAGGCAGGCTCGCTCGTGCCCGGCGAGAATGCGACGAGGGACGAGCTCATGCCGTATCCGTACCACGGCTCGACGTCGGGCAGGTTGGTGAGCGGCAGTGGCGTGTTGAGGTCTCCGTTCGTCGCCACCATGAAGGCTCCATTCATCGCGAACGGCATCTCCCACCGCCCATTGTTGCCCTCGATGTCCCAACTCGCGCGCCTCCACTTCAGATGCGCCGCATCCGAAGGGGCTTTGCGCGCCTCGGGAAGCGGGACGGCCCCCGCCGAGAAGAAGGTCGCCTGCTCGTGCTTCGGCACCTTGCCAAAGTCCTCCACCTCGATGTCTTCGTCGCAGTTGTTCCTCACACTGAACTTCTTGACGATGATCTGGCCAGCATTCTTGGGCTTGTGACTGGCCTGGCAGAGCGCCAGGTCTGCGCCCTTGCACGCAGTCGCACCATGTGGCGTGCACACGTGATGCGTGTGGTCGTAGCAGCACATCCCCTCTGCGGCAAGGGCCTTGTTGATGCACTCCTCAATGGTGCAGTGGCGTTCGGTTTGGTAGGCCGGGCAAGCGGGCAGGGCCTCGCTGACTGGTGCAGCCATCGCGATGTCGATGGCGGCAGTGGCGGCGATCACAACAAGCTTTGAGAACACCGGCATGGTTGGTATCCTGCGGACACGGCGCGCGGAGAGACGTGAGGCGCGCACTGGAGGGAGGAGGAGCCGCCGCGGCGTCGCGGCGGAGGTGGCGCGGCAGGCTGGCTGGCGGGGGCTGGCAGGGGCTGGCTGGCAGCGCACGTGAGGGTGGGCGGCGAGTTTTGAGAGTCCTGCAACGTCCTTCCTGAACAAGGCTTCCTATGAAAGGCGGGCACCACCTTGCAGGACGTCTGACATGTTTCGATGAGGTGCAGGTCAGAGCAGCTCGAGGGAGGAGGGTGAGGAGGGCCGCCGCGACAGCGGTCGATGCTTCTACTAACGATCTTTATTTTATTTTGCATAAATAACGTATCGAAAAAAACGAGCGGGCCTGGAGCGGCAAGCCGCCTTCCCCGGGGGGGGGAGTGCCATGGGGCATGGCCCATGCCATCTGGCATCTGGGGCGCGCCGATCGGCGTGATCCGTGAACCGTGATGCGGCTTCGCCGGCTTGTGTTTCGAGCGATGATGCTGGCGGGCTGAAACGCCTTCTCTCCATACCAAACACACATCCCCCGAAGCCTCGACCACAACAGCGGGTTGTCACCCAGAGGGCGCGCCATGTGTGCTGGCCGCCGACGGTCTGTCACAGTCAATATCAAACTTCGAAGCCGCATGCCCCGCCTGAGGCTCCCGAGCGGCATAGCACTTTGCCCGGCGCGAGCTTCGGCTCAGAGGTGCTCCTCCTGGAAGCGAAGGAGGAGGAAGAGGGCGACGGCCTTGCAGAGGAGGAGCAGCCACTGCAGCGGTGCGTATGGCATCGACGCGAGCTGCAGCACGTCGAAGAGCAAGCAGACGGAGGTCGCGAGCGCCCAGAGCTTGAGGTGCAGCCGTGAGCGGAGGCGCTGCACCGGGAGGGTGAAGGGGGGGCGGCGAGTGAGGGTTGGGGACCAGAGGAGGAGATGGCTGAGACGCCCGTGTCGAGCACCTGCGCCGCCAGCCCGTACAGTGCCAGCAGCCCTCCCCAACCCACGGCGACGGCCCAGCGCAGCACCTCAATCACGAGCCAGGCGAGGAGCGCCTACGACCGACACCTCCCGCCTGAGCGCCAAGGCGCGTGTGTCGAATGGCACCATGGGACAGGGGCGGCGTGCCGACTGGAGCAGGCGAGGCCGCTTGCCCAGCCCGGTCAGCCCGGACTGGGCGGCGTCGAGCGCCTCAAGAAGCAGCTCATCGCCCGCGTCGGAGAGCGCGCCGGCGGAGACGGCGTGGGCGAGGCTTCCGAGCATGCTCACGATGAGAGCGAGCCGGACAAGCCCATACGAAAAGCCGAGCTCCGCGCGGCCGGCGCCGAGGCTGGCGGGCGACGAAGCGGCGTACTGGAGGAGGGCGAGGCATTGGAGGAGGAGGAGCGCGGCCCAGGCGGCCGGCGGGCCGATGGACCGGACCGGAGCCAAGGAGGAGAGCGGCACGTGCTGCTCCTTGAGCTTTGCCACGGCCACCGCCAGCATGCCCCGACTGTGCATCGCCTGCTCACGGAGATGCGATGGTGGGAGGTGACGTGCGGCGGCGGGCGGGCGTTGGGTCAGGGCGGCGTCTCTCGTGGATATCGAGTCTGTAGTGCGATGGGAACTTGGAGGCGAAGCTGTCTGCACACCTCTAGAGCGAGGCGGCCGAGGAGAAGCAGCGAGGAGACGAGGGCGAGAGTAAGGAGGGTGGCTGCGACGCCGCCCGCTGCCTTGACAGCGCAGGTCACCCGGTCCGACGGGTCGCTAGGCTGGCACGCCTCGTCCAGCCGACCCGTCTGGTTGCCCACCATTGCTGCACGGAGGCCGGCGAAGACCGGCTCGGCGTCGCGGTTGGTGCCGTGCAACCAGTCGCCGCCGCCGAGCGCGGCCAACTGCAGCAGTGCCACGAGCGAGAGCGCGCCCGCCTCAAACGGCCGCGCGTACGAGTGCCAATTCACCACCAAACCCTCACCGACCGAGCCCGCAGGCGTGCCCATCAGCCGCGCCTTGTCTGAGCCTCCAGGGTCCTCGTCGTCTATGGCGCGGAGGCTGGCAATGCCAACCTTGGAAGGCTCGTCGGCAGGTTCACGGTCGAGGCCAACCTCCACGACGTCGTCGATCTCGGTCTGGGCCGCGTCCTGCATATAATGGAGCGTGGTGGGACGGCGTGCACTCGTGACAACGCACGCGCGAAGTTTGAAAAAGAATTTGAAAAGCTCGTGGCCGCCCACCAGTCTCTTTCTCTGGCCGTCCTCCCATCCCTCCCTTGGGTTGTCTGTTTTCTTTCTTTCTTTTAGTCTCTTTCTCTGTTTGTCTATTTAAAACGACGACCAAACAGCGCATCGCGCGAGATCACCGAGATTTTTCGACTGTTTGTTTCACATCCTCAGAGTAACTTCGCACTTGCAGCCCGCGAGTTTTTCTTTCCTGTGTGCTTACTCGAAGGCGACAGACGGACATGTGTGTTTGCTTGCTCGCAACGCGGGGCGACGCTCTCATGGACTCACGTCACGCGCCCACTAGCTCACGCCATCAGCCGTAGGATATGGCCGCCTCGCGACCGCTGGTAGGTGGCGAACTCGCGCTTCGCCTGCGAGATGCGTGCCACGACCTCGGGGCTGCTCACGGAGAGCTCCTTCCATGCGCGCTCCGGGTTGGCCGACGCCATGATGACGTCAGCGCGCTCCGACGGCGACGCCGCGGCCTTTGTTTTCTTTTTTCGACCCGCCGCGGCGTTGTATATTTGCTCCGAGGCTGGACATATTTGTGCGTATCTGATGCCATCTCCTTGCGTATTTCGCTTCTGGGCGAAAGGCCGAGCGTTTTCGAAAAAAGAAAAAGCTGTCAGCGCCTGACGAAGCGCACCTGATGACAGCCGGTGTGGCTCTGAAAAGCACACCCGATAGCCATGCCAAGCGTCGTGCCTCTTCTCGTCTCACTGCCCTACGTCCTGGCTGCTCGGTGTGGCGTGGACAGCTGCACCGACGCCGTCCTCGCAACGCTCGCCCGAGATCTGACCGCAGGCTACAAGGGCTTCTCATCGTGCGAGTCTCGCATGAACTGGGTGAAGAGCAACACCGGCCGGACAGAGGTGGAGGCTTGCGAAAAGGTGGCAGAGGAATTTCCGGAAGAGTGTGGCGCCTGCCACCCCTTCCAGTCGCCGCCTCCGCCGCAAACCTCGCCGTCGCCGTCGCCGCCGCCGCCACCATCACCACCGCCGCCGCCGTCACCGCCGCCGCCCTACGTCCTGGCTGCTCGGTGTGGCGTGGACAGCTGCACCGACGCCGTCCTCGCAACGCTCGCCCAAGATCTGACCGCCAACTACAAGGGCTTCTCATCGTGCGAGTCTCGCATGAACTGGGTGAAGAGCAACACCGGCCGGACAGAGGTGGAGGCTTGCGAAAAGGTGGCAGAGGAATTTCCGGAAGAGTGTGGCGCCTGCCACCCCTTCCAGTCGCCGCCTCCGCCGCAAACCTCGCCGTCGCCGTCGCCGCCGCCGCCACCATCACCACCGCCGCCGCCTCCGGCACCGCCGCCGCCGGCCCCTCCGCCGCCGGCCCCTCCGCCGCCCTCGCCGCCGCCGCCGTCGCTGTCGCCCTCACCGCCTCCCACGCCGCCGCCGCCGGCACCGCCGCCGCCGGCCCCTCCGCCGCCGGCCCCTCCGCCGCCCTCGCCGCCGCCGCCGTCGCTGTCGCCCTCACCGCCTCCCACGCCGCCGCCTCCGGCACCGCCGCCGCCGGCCCCTCCGCCGCCGGCCCCTCCGCCGGCCTCGCCGCCGCCGTCGCTGTCGCCCTCACCGCCTCCCACGCCGCCGCCTCCGGCACCGCCGCCGCCTGCCCCTCCGCCGCAAACCTCGCCGCCGCCGTCGCTGTCGCCCTCACCGCCTCCCACGCCGCCGCCTCCGGCACCGCCGCCGCCTGCCCCTCCGCCGCAAACCTCGCCGCCGCCGTCGCTGTCGCCCTCACCGCCTCCCACGCCGCCGCCTCCGGCCCCTCCGCCGCCGGCCCCTCCGCCGCCCTCGCCGCCGCCGCCGCCGCTGTCGCCCTCGCCGCCTCCCACGCCGCCGCCTCCTGCACCGCCGCCGCCTGCCCCTCCGCCGCCCTCGCCGCCGCCGCCGTCGCTGTCGCCCTCGCCGCCTCCCACGCCGCCGCCTCCGGTGCCGCCGCCGCCTGCCCCTCCGCCGCCCTCGCCGCCGCCGCCGTCGCTGTCGCCCTCGCCGCCTCCCACGCCGCCGCCGTCCGCCTCGCCATCGCCGCCTCCTCCGTCGCCTTCATTGCCGCCGCTCGCCCCGCCGATCGAAGGCTGTATGGACTCGATCGCCAAAAACTTCAACCCGGATGTCGACGTCAACAACGCCGCCCTCTGCAAGTACAACTTCGCGGACGGGGAGATCGCGGTGTTCGGCTACATCACGAACTGCGAGGTGTTCGTCGACCAGAATAGCGACCTCCTGCTCGACTCGAGCGTCAACGAGCTCGGCTTCCCCACCGAGCGGAGCGGCACGAGCACCATCAACGGCGCCTTCTTTGTCGAGATTGGCGCTGCCGAAGAGCGCGTGCGGGTGAAGCCGGCTGCGCTGGGTGACAATCCTGGCCGCTGCAGGGACAGCCTAGCAAACAGGCCGCTCAACCTGCCCCTCGAGTCATCGCTCCTCCGCGGAGAGGGTAGCACCCAGGTGGAGAATGGCGACAGGAGTAGAATCATCACGCCGCTCTCCGCGGCGTCGGCGCCGCTGCTGCGGCCCAACGCTACGAGCGTCGAGGTGGCGGACGCTTCGATGCTCACGTGCGAGAACCTGCTCCCGTGCGTCCCGTGCGAGTCGAGTGGCTCGTCACGGCCGTGCATCTCTGTGGAAGGCCCGCGCTGTGAAGGGCAGGCGCCGCCCTTCACAGGGTTAGGAATCGATGCTTGTCGCTTCCCGAACTCTAAGCAGCCGCAGCTGGTCAACGAGTTCGACGCGTTGCGCTTGTTGCTCGATGGGTCCACGGACTTGGCCGTCGTTGCGTGGCTCGCGACC